GGTTACACATTAATTGTTCATTAGAGTTTCGACAGAGTTTCGACAGTCATTAAGAGGTTTCGCCCACAACCTTAATCAAGATATACTACTACTAATTTCCATAACATGTCCCGGAGGACTTTATCCATCAATCTCTGGAAAGTTCCAGGAGCATTTGTCAATCCGAAAGGCATTACTGTAAATTCAAAGAGTCCATGATGTGTGATGAAAGCAGTCTTTTGGATATCTTCTGGTTTCATCTCTACTTGCCAGTATCCATTTGCTAAATCTAAGGACGAAAACCATTGTGATCCTTGTAGTGTTCTAGAATATCATCAATCCTTGGTAAAGGATAAGAATCCTTCTGGTCTTTTTATTTAAGTCACTATAGTCTACACAGAATCGTAAGTCTTCTCCTTTCTTTTCTACTACTACAACTCCTGAGGCATACTCTATTTGATTCACGAATGAATCCCGCATCTAGCATTCTTTGTATTTCTTCCTGGACAAACTTTCTTCTATCAGGAGATACTCTTCTTGGTTGATGTCTAATTGGTCTCGAGTCAGTTAGATCTATACTATGATAAGTCATGTTGGTTCTTCCAATGTTGGACTTCTCCCAAGCAAATATATTATGGTACTTTGTACAACAAATCAGAGAGTTGTTGAGTTTGTTCTTCATCAAGTTCTTTTCCCACATCAATTGCAAATTGGTCTATTTCTTTCTCTTCTGTTTCTACCTTTAGGTTGTAAGCTTGTATCTTTTCTTCCCAGTTGCATCTACACCTTTGATGGAAACTTTTGCACATTTGTTTGCACCATATGCATCGGAAATGGTTATGATGGTCTTCTTCTCCACATTCACATGGGTAGTGTCTTCCTTGAAATATGTGCCACTCCTCCTTCATAGTCGTAAGTGGTTTTTCAACTTTATCCATTGTGAAGTTGTATGCTTCTACGATTCCTGGGTATGTGCCATCGTCATAATTGGTGTCTTTTTTCTTCAGTTTCTTCTTCAACTCCTATTACCATTAGGGACGTCTTTCTGGAGTGTTGTTCTAACATGAATACTTCTAATTCTCCGTCTTTCATATTCTGATGAATCAGATTCATCATCATCTTCTGATGATATTTCTTCTCCATACTTGTGTGCTACTTCTACAGTTGCTTTCTGGTCATCCCAGTAAAGCTCACATTGCGTTCTCAGTTATAAGCTTGTTAATCATGACAAAAACATTTCATCAGGTATCATTTAATCGTGACATCACCAATGACTCATTTTTGACATTTAACTTTAGTAATTGTCAATTAGTCATCATTTATCATTCTATTTTATTTTATTTTATTTTATTTTATTTTATTGGACAAAATCATGTTATTTGTAATACTTTAAGAAGTATAAATATGCTTGAAATTTCCTTCAGTGAAAAATTTAAAAACAAATGTTCTTTCAATAATAACACTTTGGTAATAAAAATAACAATTTTCATTAATTGATAAATCTGGCATGATTGATTGATTCATAACCCTTTCTGATGATTAATGGTTTGGCCAACATTTAATTATTAGTTAGGGACCCCTTTTATAAGTTTTACTATATTGCTTGTAGGGACACCTCAAGTAGTGTAGTTGTATATTTTAGTTTAGTTTGAACATTATTGTGCCAGATTTAGTGACTCTGCAATAGAGTTGAGTTTCTATTTGTAATA